GAAGAGATAAGCAAGTGGCCTTCAATTTTATCCAGATTAAGCAATCTTTGACCTGAAACCAGAAATGCTGCTTGAAGCATTATTGAAGTCCTCAAAGTCTGATGTTAGTAAAATAAACAAGAAAGTTTTTGCACAAAATCTCAAAACGACTTTGATCCACTTTCATTGGCTTTAATAAATAAAATGTTTCCATTCTGTAAAAACATATCTCAACTATTGTTCTCCTCTCCGACAATCACACACACACACACACGTGTAATCCATATCACAAGCTTACCCCAATGACAGAAGGAATTAATGGTTTTATAATCCATAATTTTTTAGTATTCCATATTTGTCGCTAATCACCTGGGATCTCCTCTGTGATTTAGTACCACACTTTAAGTTGCATCAGGAGAGGCGCCTGCATCTGGGTTTTCTTAAGATTTCTTCCCTGAAAGAAATTTAACAGGATTTGTAAAGTAGAACATATTGACATATAGGTTATATAATTTCATACATTAAACTTTACTATAAAATATGTATAAATATTACTTGAACAAATAAAAAGCTCATATTCTTTAAGATATATCTGTGGCAGTGTGTTCAGTTTTTTAAGAAAATGTTAAGTTATAACTGTTTAATTGAGGTGAACTTACAAACAAAGTTGAGTGCTCTGTGTGTATTAGGTTATGACTCCTCATATGTCCTTCTCATTAGTTTATTGGAGAGCACTACCAGCTGAATAGTCTTTGAAAGTCAAACACTTCCTGTAATTGCGGAACGAACTGCGCAAACTGAAAAAAGCATACAACATAACACGAGTATTCATATGATTATGTAAATATAAATATAACTAATAAATCAGTGTTTTTAATGCTGCAGTAGTGCCAGTGACCTTGATTGTATGTTTCATAAGCTTTGTTCATTATATCCACATAATAATAAATTTTATTTTTGTTGAACTCTGATTGAGTCATACGTCCTGATTCCATCAGAATAGATAACGAGTTCCACTGTCGGTTTGGTTGCATTTGCATTCTGAAAAAAATATACAGAGTAAAAGTTTGTAAAGAATATTTAGTGAGGACAAACACATGCTTGATTGCAAGATGGACAGATTGATTATTGCAAGAAATGTTATAACCACAGAGATGGAGAAAATCATACTAATGTATTTTACCTTGAAAATTAGGTGTGAAAGAGGAGAGCTGCTTAAGGTCATCCGTCATCTTGTAACACACACTGTTCACATAGGAGTTCTCATTGCATTCATGGGCTACACTTGGACTGCAAACCTAGATCCCAACAAAAGAGGTGAAAGAAATTTGATCATATTAAATTATTTTGCTCAAAACTTTGAAAAAATATCACAGAGAATGTGTAATTGAGCTTTGTGATTTTCTTACAGTGAATTGGGAGCGTCTGGAGTCTTCAGCTATAGACAGGCCAAGGTGCTTGACTTGTATTGTGGAATTTTTGAGAGGACTTTCTGCAAGAGTAGAATTTGATTAGTACTTTAAAGAGTAACTAAACACCCAAACTCCTTTTTTTTCTGCTGAAAACCTATGGGTATTCAGTGTTGTTGATCGATTCTGGAATTTGACATATTGTGATATAAATTTGCATAGTGACCTCCCTGTACTGGTTGAAAGTTAAGAGTTAGCCTCTCTGACCTGCTAACTTAGCTAATGTTACAACACAGGTACCATGCAGAAACGTTTACAGTGGCTGTGAATATGCTTCTAGTGACTGTCAGAGCTACAGTGAACTCTTTGTGTTTCGAGCGCAGACACAGACAGTCTGACACCAGCTGCTCATGGCTCAGTTAGCTATGACTAGGGTCTTCCTGGTGCTATGAGTGGTGGTGAGTCTGTAACTCATGTCAGTGTCACCTTCTACATCACACACCCCACCACAAGGCCATGCCCCTTATATGATTCTCCTGTGCCATCCTCTGCTGTATTTTTTTTTATTTGCTGCAAGCTCACAGAATGTAGGGGTTTAGTTACACATTAAAAATTCACACAAATCTTGAGCTACATAATGAAATGTCTCCATTTTATATTATATATATCATAAAACCTAATTTAATAGCCTGGGCTTTTATTTGCTTTAGTCACTGAACTCAACCTGCCTTTATTTGTAATAAGCCTCTATATAGGACGGGCCTGTAATTCCTTTTGTACAAAATTCTTGTTCAGCAATGATGGGAAATACTATAAACTTATTTATTTAAACGATTGAATCCAGTCGATGAAACTACGTGTTTCAATATTGACAAAGGTTTAAGCATCTTAGAATTCACTCAAGCAGGCAGCCCAGTGGGCTTTAAGAGGTTTTATTCATCCAAAAGATTTCTATAAAATCCAGACCAGGCGTCTAATTGAGACCTGCCTTTGTTTGTCAAAATGTGTAGCCACACCAGACTAGTAAAGATGTATTTCTACATTGTTGGAAACTGTACTTTCCCTGTTAGTAATAGTGGGATTCATTTTATAATATTGACTTGAGTTACTGCATTTATATAAGATAAGATTACCTCCAGGTTCAAAGCAGTTGTGGGTTTGGTCTCGGTCAAGTTTGCATATTCCCCCAGATCCATTAAAGCGCAGAGGTGCAGTAACAATTATCCTGTGAATGAGGTCAACAACCATGGTTACTTAACCAATTTGGTGGCCAGCCTGACATAAAAGTAAACCTATTTTGCTGCTGTAACCAGGTTGTCAGAGTAACCTTTTTGTGACGCCACAGAAACATAACCAACAGGATGTTAGATCATAAAAAGTGATAAACCACAAAGTGTTACTTCTCCGAAGAGCTTCTGGTGATTAAAGAAAACTCTTTTATCAGCAATAAAGTTCCACGCAAAAGGAAATATGTAATAACGATTTTGACAGCAATGCTAAATGTCAACAGAACCATCAAGTTGTAAATGCAAACTTACCCTTTGCTTTTGCCAGATATGAATTGAAGCACTTTGTAACCAAAGAAATCTTTTTGTTCTCCAGTATAGACATGAGGATCTGTCACATCAATGTTGAAAGCCACAGAGACAGGGATTGCTGCAATGTTTGAGAGAAGACCACATTTTTAAAGATTAGGATTATTTAAAGATCCCCTCCAGACATGTATTGCAACATATAATCTGCTAGGAACAATATTGTGTGTCTAATGTTTTTTTTCTGTTTTTCTTAAGTTTTCCTGCTGGACACGAGATGTCTCCTACTTCTGTGTAAAGTCCATTCTCAGTGGATGGGCACTGGTGGCTTTAAGTTCGTACATCACACTGTATAAGTTGCGTACTGGACCAGGACTGACTTTTTCAAGAACTTAACACACAAAACTTGGTGCTACGTTACCCATAATGCAACTTGATAGCCGACGGTCAGAGATTCGGGTGTGTTATGCTTTTAACAGCTAATGTAGCCTGGAGCCACTATCTCAAGCAGAGATGAGAAGTGGGCTAGAGAGGTCTGGCACTTCTTTCTGCACAACCCCAAATTTTTGGCATTATGGCTTGGAATATATAAAAGACATACAACATTTTTTTATACACTCAGTAGTACTCCCCAACACCTATAAACAGTCCCCTGATCAAGGCAGAAAAAAACTGAAACAAACCTTATTTCTCCTCAAAACTATCTTTCATTGTTATTGACCTTCCTTCAATTTCACCAAAATCATAATTTAGTGTCCCCCATTGTTGGATGACCTGCAGTGGTTCTGTGATTAATGTATTGCCGTTTTTGTGGGTGATGCATGAATAAGTTGAGACGTTTTTGCTTAAAGCTGTGCTAATAATTTTTATCAGATGTCTTTGTGTAATGTGAAAGGAGTAGGTCATAATCATTAGCTCTACGGAGCATTTTAGCATCTTTCAGCTCCTACTTTTGGTTTAACAACCTGCAAATGTTCTGTCTCACTATTGTTTCCAACCATAGCAGGCAGCTGTAAAGCTGTGAAAACCCACTGTGAGTCACTGTAACTTCCCAGCACCAAACATCAGACAAAGTTAGCAACTAGCTGGTGAACATAGTGGAACATTTAGAAGCTAAACAGACAGCTATTTTCCACAGGAGTTGGTGGAGACCAAACCAGACCTAAAACCCAGATAATCAGTTTTGTGTTTACGGCCTGTTGTGCTGCCCCCTTGGGCCCAAACAAATCAGCTAATACAGAATAAAGTGTGTTCAGCTCTCTCAGTCACAGTCTATAGTTTTGAGAACATATTCAGTCAGTTCAAATCACAAATCGCCTAAATCACAAAAACAATCCCTCCTTTAGTTGCAGTGGTGGAATGTAACTAAGCACATATACTCAAGTATTGTACTGAAATATAATTTTGAGGTACTTTGTATTTTCTTTTCGTGACACTTTACACTTCTGCTGCCCTACGTTTCAGGGAGAAATATGTACTTTTTTACTTAAATTATTTGACAGCTTTAGTTACATATTGCAAAAACATGGTTCTGGCTTCAAATGTGAGAATTTGTTGCTTTATTTATATTTATATTTATATTTACAATATTTTAATTTATTGTGAATAAATTAAACCCAAAGGACTATTGGTTGGACAAAACAAGCATTGTGAAGGTGTCACTTTGGGCTCTGATGGCATTTCTCACTATTTTCTGAATTTTTTACAAAACAATAAGTTAGTCAATTGAGAAAATAATCAGCAGATTAATCCATAATTAAAACAATCATTACTTACAGTCCTATACAAAATAGTTCAAAATGAGCTCCACGTCAACCAGCTACAACAGTAAAATCCTGTGTTAACATTAATGCTTGAGTTCTAATAATCTAAAGATATAATATAACCTATAACAGAATTACAGAGGTATTTTTTCCTCTTCTCCTTTACAATGGAGTATTTTTACAGTGTAGTATTGGTACTTCTACTTAATTAAGGGATCTGAATCTTCCTCCACTGCTGACTAATATCCACCTCTTTTCCACCACCCTACTTCAACTGAGGCCAACTTACGTTTTGCCTAAAAAACAAAAATACCTCAAAGGCAATTTGTTTCTTTTAAAAATAAATTCCGGGTTACTCTGAATAATTCATGTTTCTCTATGCATCATTTCCTCTGTAAAAGTAGTTTATGTTTTAGTGAAAACATTATTGAATTAATGTTGTAATGTCTTAACTTGAAGATACAAACCTGCATAAAGCAGGATGACGATTGAAACTTTTTCTAACATGCGTTCGTGGTCGGACTACCCATCTTAGCACACCATGATAGATTTCCTGAGTTTTTGCACTCTGCATTGACACAGTTTCTGTACATTTAAATTGAGGTTTCGAACTTAAAACATATATTATAGACAATAATACTACTATAATAATAATACAACAGTAAAATATGATGTTTTTACAACTTCAGAAATGCTACTGCTTTCTCATTTTACATCTCTTAAGGGTTTCAGCCTTGATTTATTTCCCCACTCACATAAAGCATCAAGCATAGAGATTGTCACATTAATTACGTAACATGTAGCAAAATTTTAGAACTTACCAACAGCCACCATGTAGGTGAGCAGGAAGATGTGACTCTGCCCATGCATCTTCACATCAATCTTCTTTCAGATAACAGTGCTGGTGGTGTTTTTTGAGAAGTGTCTGCAATACTTCCTGTGCTTTCAAATGAAGGCGTTTCCGTAGCAGGTGGTTGTGACACTTCTGCTCTCACAGCAAGGCTCTCAGCAAATGTATCTTTTCCCACATGCTTCCCCTTTTCTTTGGTAATTCCAAAACCCTTCATTGTATACTTATTTTTCTTATTTTACATTTTCATGAAGGAAAAAGGAGACTGGAGTATGAGGACTGTGGTGATTGTTGAAGACCCCCCTTTATCAGAGCTGAATTAAACGTAGGTCTAATGTTAGCACAAACGTCTCACAGTGGGGCAGTGTAGCTCAGCATATCATAACAACTGTTTTTGTAATAAAGGCACCAAATTTGGCAGATGTGTTGATAGATATATTAGGAGCAAATATTGATGATATGATGGCCCAATATTTGTTTTGGGCCATAATCAAACATTTTTCAAAATGGCCACAAGTGGTTGGTCAACCTCTTTGTATCCCACTGGACATGGGCATAGCACAACATTTTGGACCCTCTACATACAGTATTTATTCTCTGTGGGCCTGTTATGCAATCTATGAGATCATCAATGATGTTAGAAGGGGAAGCTGCTTATATTACTGATACATTTTTCTTTTATTTTTTATGAATGGCAGAAAATAGTGCATTTTGGGTACTGTGGGAAGTTCCTTCAAGAAATGTTTCATGTGTTTGTTATTTTCTAGATGGGAGATATTTACGGTGCCCAGGACAAAGTATTACTGTGCTAATTAAACCTCACAAAATAATACTTTAATTCTTAACTAGCCATCTATTTCAACTTAACATGTTACACATGACACAAGAAATACAGATTTAATAATAAACATCAAGTTAGATTTAGATTTAGTCAGGAAGAAGACACTCAGACTGTAGTTACTGCACTCTTGCTTTGCACTACCTACATATCTGTTTATGGTAATATAAAGACAGAGAGCAGTATCTGTATTTTTGGGGTCATAGATCAAATAGTTGATCATGATTTTTTAAATTAAAATATTATTATAATAATTACTTGGATAATACATATGTAATAAGCACATAACCTCCATTCCACATAAAACACATTTGGCTGGCCAGTCAACAAACTTTAAAGCCATTTTTCTCAGTTTCAGTCTCTCAGGTGACCAGATATATGACTCCAAATGAATGCTAATGTTTAACTGTGTCTGCTGGATGTATAAATAGGTTGTTGTTTGCTAATCCGTTTGACAAATTAATTTTGGAAGATGATTTGTCGCTGTGCTGAGTTGCAGCTTACTTCTGCTGCACCCAAATGTTTGTTTGAATCAATCCTTCAACATATATGACCATACAATAAGTTGCCTGCCAACCTGTGTTATTCTCCTTTTATTCTGTATGTTTGTAATATCTCTGTTAGTCTCTGTTTAGTTTAAACATGTGACTGTTGTTCCTCTTTGGTATTACAGCTTTGCAAGAACTACACGAAAGTGCCATTTGGCCTACATGTCCTCGATAGAATAGCAAGTACAGTCTAGTTTTATATCCTCCGTAGATCATTATCACTGATGACACAGGGAGGGAACAGGATGTGTATTATTTCTCAAGCACCAGTAGGCCACTGTAACTGCAGTTGTTCTGGGGGAAAAAATTAACACCCTAATAAAAATGTCTCTTTTATTTATCAGGACCCAACATTTTCTCATTCAATCAGTCTGGGACTGTCTGATGGTCATCATTCCTGGAGGCTTGAGTGAGCAACAGGCTTTTGAACCTTGAGAGAAAAGTCCACAACTGGGCATCCCTGTGTTATGCAGCCCAGGGAAATGATGTCCACATGTGGGGAGAAATACATAGCCAAGTTCTCTGGAGTCACCCCTCCACTGGCCTCTATCAGGGAAGTTGGGAACTCCTCCTTCAGTGCTCGAGCTGCAACATGGAGCTCCTGTAGATGAGCGGGGGGGGGAGGGGGAGTTATTTCATGTAGAGGTTAAGTGGCGGAGTGAGTACAAACCAGGCAATGAAAATGAGAAATGACCTAGGCTGGTGTTCTTTTAATATTCTTTACCTGAGGTTGAAAGTTGTCCAGCATAACAATGTCTGCTCCAGCTGCAGCCGCCTCTCTGCCCTCCTCTGAAGAGCGGCATTCCACCTCAATCTTACTGCTGAAGCCACATACTGACCGTGCAGCTTTCACGGCCTGTGGAACAAACAGGGTTGGTTTTTGTATTTTTTGATGAATGCATTGTGAGCACAATTGAAATTATGACAGATCTCAGTCTCAGCTGTCAGACTTGATCAAGCTGTTACTAAAGTTACTGCCTCTATTGTTGGTCTGTTCACACGAGACTATTTGAATATACATAAATACACCTCTATATATATAAGAGGAAGGCTATTTTCTGTGAATTTTGACCACTTAGTTATGTTGAAGGGACAAGTATTATTGAAAGTGCAATGTTCAACTCAGAGACTGTTTATTATTCTGAGGGAATAGTTTAAAATAATATTCCATCAAAATGATAAATACTGGTAACATGTTGTTATTCTATGCATAGCAGTCATATAAATGGATTTTGCTGTGAGACTTTAATTACTTTATATGCTTGTAAAACTATTCAGAAAAGAAAGGCCATTATAATTCCATTTTATATGGAACGGAATACCTAATTGTTAAATTTAACCACTACTGAATACTGTTTTTAGATTTAAGATCCACATTTGAACAATGGAGCTGAGCAATCTGAATGTAGTTTTTATTATGCATGCTAACAGCATGGACCCAAGATGGAAATGTCTGACTGTCTTTTGGTCAGTTTGTTGAATGGATTGTCATTTAGGATTCACCCACTGTGACTTTGATAATCCCCTTATTTCTTCTCCTATGCACCCCCTCACTGACATTGTTGGCCTCAAGTGGAATATCTCAACAACTAAGGGATGGACTTCCAGGAAATTTTATATAAATCCGAACTGTGGCCCTTTGCTGCGTATATATATATATATATATATATATATATTATAAAAACTGTATGAACAAACAATGAATTGGAAAAGGCTATGGACGCCCACCTGTGTGATACTTCCTGATGCCCAGACATGGTTGTCCTTCAGCATCACCATTCCACTCAGGTCCTGTCTGTGCATGGACACACCGCCAACCAGCATGGCGTACTTCTCCACCACACGGAAGCCGGGGGTGGTCTTGCGTGTGCCAGCCACTTCTCCATGCCAGCCTTTGGCTGTTGCCATCGCCTGGAGCTGAGAACAACGGGTGGCGATCCCTGAGGCCCGTGCCAGGCAGTTGAGAGCCGGCCTTTCACCAAGGAGGAGGCACCTTGCTGGGCCTCTCACCACAGCTGTCAGCGTGATGGCATCTGGACCTGTGGAGGTGAGATAATGACAGTGGAGGGCTGACATCAAATGGAGCCCTGCAAAATTTCCAGTGCTTTTATTTATTTACTTTAGAGCTGATGAATCAACATTAAATTAGTGTTTTCTAAAGCTCTCCAATTAATACTGAGGAACTCCAAATAACCTAATAATGCTGTTTTTGTTCTTATTTTTACATCAGGTCGTATGAATGAAAATACACTGACAAACACCAACATTCCTAGTCTAACAAGCTTAATGTAAACCTTCATGTTGGATTGAATATTGTTGCATCTAAGTAAAAGAGAGTACAGTGTAAAAATGTGTCTAAATGTATAATTAACTTACAGACTATTTCTTGGTACAGCACAGTGACATAAAACTACAATTTGTTTTCTTGGTTTTTGCACACACTGAACAAAAAGAATTTTACATTTTCATCTTTGAGCTTTAGAGCTGCTTGTAGGACAGAGCCAGGCTAGCAGTTACCCACTACTTTTAGTTTTTACGTATGCAAAACTAAGCTAGGTTAATAACTAAGTTAAGCTAACAGTGTCTTGCCTGTGGTTTCACATTTGTCAGATCTTTTCAGCCAGCAGTCTGTGTTTGGTCTAAAGTGTTTGAAATGTTTTCATTAGAATTGATACGATTATAAGATCTTATATTAAAAGAGTTTAAGATCAACAACCATACTTACAAAAAATAGTCCATTGTTCTTTAGCTGTTGTGCTATGGAAGAAGGCGTGCAATGCCTACCGATCTCAGCTCCCTCCTGGTAAACCCAGTCCACGGTGCAGCCGACCTCAGTGAACACCGCTGTGAAGAAGGGGATCCCTGCCAGGACGCTGTGTGGTATTTTACACAGCAACCTGGCCTCGACCTCCTGTGACCCCACACACACTCCCGCCGGGTCAAAGTTTGGTGTGTCCTCAGCCAGCCATTCTCGTGCCAGCCGGGTCAGAGTGTGTGGTGGGATCGAGAGTGCTGCTGTGTGTGAGGGCGGAGACATTCTGAAACCTGTGTGAATGGAGGAAATCCATGATTTATTGTGCCAGTTGACATGAAAGCAGGAAGTGAAAGCAAATAACACAGTCAAACAACTCTCAAGGTGCATTCTTGTCTGTCGATAACTGTGATTCAGATAATACTGGGCCATGTGTTTGAAGATGATAGATTTCAGTTGTTCCTCTCACTTTATCTCTTTCCAGAAGAGGTTGACAGTAGAAGAGTTGTAGAAGCCAAAGCAGAAATCAGATGTTGTTAACCATCAGGGCTTAGTCCAAATCTAGGGGTTCTGAGATTTTTTCCCCCATTTACAGCAGCTATATGCACTGTTTATCAAGTCAATTGAGATAATAGACAGCCTAAAAATCTGTACATTAATTGGGAAAAACATGATAGTTTTCCTAAGAAATTGTTCTTAACTATCTTCATCATACTGAAACCAGAAAAAGATGACTCATTTTCACTCCTGCCACCTAAAAAGAGGCAAAAACAGCTGAGGTTGACTCACAGTCCATAGTCCATAAGATAGTTAGCGAGCCAGCTTGCTCACTGAGGTGAACAACTGAATGAAACACAGCACACACAAACAAAAACTCCCCATTATAATGTTGGGTGGACATACAGTAGATGGTAATATTTCCCCAGTGATAGATCTTTTGCGCCATTGATTTGCCAGTCCAGTCAGAGAGACTGAGAGTAAATGACACAAAGTTATTTTAAAAACCTAAAAGATTCAAGATTTTTAAGAAAACATTTCTTGAGCCCCAGATGTTATGGCCTTCAGCTGCATCGTCAGATACAACTAGGTACTCTACTAATACACAAGAAATAATTACAAGCACAATTGGAACAGAACAAATTAATGCAAATGAGATATTGGTACTTACTTTCATCAGTGACTCTCCTTTCTCTGTTGGTCACAGACTAGAGTTGTAGTGCTGAGCATACAGAGCCACAGGAGAAATGTGGCATGGAATTTGACCCTGTGTCCATGTTGGAATGTTTATATGCTATCTAAGCATTAGCACTCAAGGCTTAACATTGATTGTTTTAACCAAGGCTGATTCACAGGCCAGAGTGCATATTTGGAAAAATGAATTGAGGTAAATTCAAAGTCTTAAGTCAGTGCAACAGAGCAACATACATAAACTGCTGTAGACCTGCTAACCCACAGACTGTGCATGAAAACCTACTATATACAACTCTATTGCATTACAAATTTGTGATAAATTGGGTATATTATGTGTAATAGTTTTCATCTGTGGCACTGTGCTTACAAGCCTGTATCTGCCTGTTTCCTGAAATTGCCTTTACATCAGTGATTGGGACATTTTTGGGGCCTCCATCTCTCAGCAGTGTGCTAACTATGCACTGGAAAGTTATTGCAACACCAACCATGTGCAAAGCAATAAAAACAACTCAATCTGCAGCAGACCAAATGAACATCAGCACTGGTTTTACAGTCACAGGTTGGTGCTTTTTAAACATCTGTGGTGACTTTGTAAATGCAGATTGTCTCAGCCTCGGGATAGCAGTCATCACAAGCTCAGGAGGAGCAGTGCTAGAAGTGAGAGGAATGGATTTGCACCACACTTACTGCCTTTTATTTATTTATTTATTTGACCAATTCAGAAGCCACTGATAAGAAGGAAGTTCCTTCTTGAAAAAAGCTGCCGAGCATTTGGACGGTAACAACTTCTTAACATTTACAACTGCAGGCTTAACACATTATTATTATCACCTCTATGTAATTACTTATTAACATGTAAGACTGCAGATGACTTCCTAACCTTTGACTTGTTAGACAGTGAGAAACCTGCAACCTACAGAGCTGATGGCTTATTAAAAAGTAAACTTGTGACCTTTTTATTAATGACTTGACTATTAATAACTCACCAACCAGAGAGATTTTCCATAATCTGGGAACCTAAAAGTGTGTTTAGTCTTATATATATATCTTATATATCTTAATATATCTTTAATGAAGTCAATGTTCATAAATCGTTCATAAAAGGCGCCTTAGAAAGTGTTACCAATAGTCCTATTACTACTGCTATAGTCTTGTTATTAATCAGTTTTGGGATCTATTTGCTTTCATTGTGGATACAATTTAAACATATAACAGGAAGTGTAGTGGTCACTGTATTTGCCCCGGGGTCTCTTACATACACTGACAATGGGTCTAACAGAGCAGCCGTGGTGACGTCAGACAATCAGAGCAGCTTTGCGCGCTCCCGACGCCAACGAGCACGAGCCGAATCGTTCCGCCACATCCAGAGCAAGAACCAGGAAGTGAAAGTATACACATGGAGGGTGTGTCTTTCTCTGCCACTGAATGTTTTATTTTTAAAAACACAGTCCTCCTCGGATAAATAATGGGGGACTCGGCGAGGGCCAAGCGGCGGGAGCAGCTGAAGCGCTGGGCCGGCTCCTTCACCGACAAAGCGTCGGCCGTGGCCAGGCGGAGGTGGCGGGGCGATGCCGAGAACGGAGCAGGGGAACCGGAGGCCGAGCTCAGCGAGCCACCGACGGACCAGCCAGTGTCTGTGGGCAGAGATGAAACCAGCCCCCTCCTCAAACGACGGTAAGGACACATCTCCTGTCAGACAGCTTCACTACATGGGCCAGCTAACAGCCAGCTAGCTTAGCTTAAACATCTGAGGAGATGCTAAAGGAGGAATGTTGTGCGTGGGCTCTGAGAGGGGGTGGACTGAATTACAGAAACATCTCACAATACATTACTGTAGCCCCCCAGCTGCTGAATAACATATACTGTTTATTGAAGCTCATAATGTTTCGTTTGTGTTGAAACTGTCAGTGGTCAATTGTTTCTTAGGCCGTAGTTTGGAGTGTTTGTGTTAGCTAGCTAGCTAGCCAGCTAGGTAGCAATTGGTATGTGTTACCTGATTGGTTTTCAGTTTGATAACATTGTCTAAGATTACAGTAGCTTTTGTGGCAGGTCCACCTGTCACACATGTTGCAACAGTATGAATATCGGCGACAAAGAGTCAACATTTACGATGACACCAAGCTAAGAGTGGTCGCAAGTAGACCCTCACCAACACTGAGTGGACACTAGTGTGACAACACAAAAAACTATGGCTTCAGACCTGACCATGTTTAAATCTTGTGTTATTTTTTCTCACTGTTAACAAATCCCACAAGGAAACCAAAACCACCGATCAACTGATCTTACAGCAAGTATTGCCTGTATATTCAAAGTCCGATAGAACTTATTTCTGTCCATACATTTCGAACATTGTCCAAACATTGTTAAAGACGCTGGCTTAATTAATCACTAGTGCACCAAGTCTGCTGCTGACAACAGTCTCCAAAAAGTACATCCATTCATTTATTCCTGTTTGGGTTCCATTTGCAATACAGTACCGAGCTGTTTTAGGGTATTATCTAAGGGTTTTCTTGGCCGTTTCAAAACTATAGAATATTGCCACTGTTTTTCTGTTACTCATCCCCCCTCTCATCAAATCACAAAGGTTTTTCATACAGGGCTTTTGCAAGTGTGTTTGTTTTTTGTTTTTTTTACTCCTTGGATGAAGTGCAATGGTGTTACAAAACATGTTACTTATTTTTAAATTGGCAAACCAGCTATAAAAGCTAAGCAGTAAAGTCATCTAGCTGCCTGTATCCTGTGTCTTTAGGAAAAGGGTAAGGTTTGACAGGGCTGCAGAGTTCCTGGCTGCCTGTGCCAGCGGGGACACAGAGGAGGCCCAGGCGATGCTGAAGGAGGCCAAAGAGACCAAAATGACAAACGGGGAAGATGTAGCAGAAATTATCAACTGTTCCAATGCAGATGGTATCACTGCTCTCCACCAGGTGAGGAAGTTTCTCCTCCTGAGGTTTACTTAAAATTACTGGTTGATGCTGAGATGAAGGAGAAACATTTACCGTTGCGTTATTTCCTTCTACACAGGCCTGCATAGATGGGAGCATGGAGATTGTGTCCTTCCTTTTGGAGCGTAATGCCAATGTGAACCAGGTTGACAGTGAGGGATGGACGCCGCTGCATGTTGCTGCCTCCTGCGGTTACCGGGACATTGTAGAGTGTGTAGTATATGTCTCTACAGTTAACATAATAGAACAGCGTAACAGCTGTGAAATACAGTACTCTTTGTCACTTTGGGGATGCCAGAAGGTAGCGCGGGTGCCAGAGTATTTCTGCATTCAACAATACTAACATTGTTGTCGTGTTTGGCAGGACAACAAGTCAGCTAAGGCATGAGTGGGCTTGCCTGGCACACAAACACATGCAGCTCAAATGATTAAACAATTGATGCTTCTTTTTTTGCTACAGCCTCTTATTCTTTACCTATGAATAATACTTTTAGTGCTGTTAAATGGATTCTCACTCTGTCCATGTTTGTATTATCAGTTTCCTTTTGCAGCGAGGTGCGTCTCTCTCTGCTGTGAACTGCGATGGTGACGTTCCTCTGGACATTGCTCTGGATGAGTCCACTGAGTCCCTTCTCCAGGATTACACCCTGAGACAAGGTGAGTGCTGTTCTTTGACAACTACCCCAGTTTGATCATGTGTTTGGGCTTAATCTGGGGCAATGTGTTTTTTCTTTCCAGAGCATGTTCTGTTGAATCAACAGCATATGTTACATCTTAATGTATGTTTGTTGAGCTAAATAAAAACACCCTGATGGATGTTGTATTACCATTGCTGAATAATGTATGGAAAACATTAAGTAAGAGTTTTCTTTTCATGGTTGGCTTATTGTGTGCCAGAAGGGTGTGGGGTCGTTCCCAGACACACAGTGCTCACCATTTAATATTACTCATCAGTTTGATTATGTCATGCAACTTTATCATATTATGATATATAAACATATCCTTAGTAATGTCTTGATAATGATGACCATACTATTACCAACCATATCAACCAGGCGTGTTTGGAACATCCTCAATGATGGTGGGTGTTGATTTGCAGTTCCCGGGCTGGAGGTCAGAGGATTTAAAGCAGGGTTATGCTTGAAATTAAATATTGGGTATGACGAGTCATCCAATCACATTGGGAGGAAAATATTTTTCTACCTGTTCCAAATGGCCACACTCAAAGGCAGGGTGAAAGCTGGCCCTAATAGAGAGCCGGGAGACATGATAACTATTTACATATGGAAGGGGTGGGCAATCTGACGATTTTAGATTGAAATTGTCATCTAAGGTAACCTTGGTGGGTGAGAATCTTTCTCGCTTCAATCTATTTGTTTTTGGCCAAACTGCATGGTGCCGGACCAATCATCGTCTTTTGAGGAAGTGTTCTTCGTGTGTGGGCACATAGAGGTTAGTGTAGATGCTGCTAGCATCAGTTATATCATAGTTGGAGAGTATTTCTCTACTGAACGGCACTGAAGGCTTTTCTCCATGAAAAAGATGTTTTCACTCCTCTCCAGACTGACTACGTTATATGGTTCAGTCATCTGATCGGTTGAAGTTCACCCATGATAGACAGATTGATCCAATCTCCTGCCAAGTATTTTTTGAAAGTGCCTGTCCTTTTCCGAACAGGTTCCAATGATAACTTCCCAGATGGTTCTGTGTAGTAAACCATCTGGCACAGTCAGGTTAGAGCTAAGGCATCCACAACCTAATTTTCAGGCAGAACTTAGAGATTGCGGGATTTATTATTACAAATGACTTCACATAGCTCTTGCTTGGGTGACGTAATGTTAATAATGCAATTGAGTTGTGAGTATCTGAAAGTGTTATTTTATGATTATTATTTATTAGCTTTTGGCTTGTGTTTACAACTTCATTTCAAACTTTAGATAAAAGATCACAATTTAGATTGTGGCTCGTGATATTGATTTAATAGATTGTGATATTATTTTGGCCAGATCGCCCGACCCTAAAAGATGGTGTGAATGGTACACATTTTCATGACATCCTTTTGTGGAAGGCACTGCACTTGTTGCGTAATGTGAGAAAACAGTTGCGTCAAGAATTGAAAAAGAGATCTTAAACGAGAAGTTCAAACCCTGCTGTAAAGAGGAAGCACAATTTCTAGAGATGCACCGATATACAATATCAGGGCTGATACCAATAACCAAACATTTCTTTTGTGTGTGGCTGTATGTATAATACGATAACGGATACTAATACAACACCAGTATTTAAGACCATTCACCATTTTGAGAACAAAGAATACATTAATTTAGTGCAAACTTGTTTGTAATGACATCAGTTTAAAAATATATATATATAATATAACATAATATTAATGTTCTCCTTATTGACAAGCATGCAAGGCTTTAAAAACATTTGAATAACTTTACATTCTGTTAGACTAATTAATGATTACCTGAAACAGTCTTGTGGCATCCAAGTCGACAAGAATTAAACTGAATTAAAATTCAGCCCCGCCCTCAGTCAAATGGTGACCGACATAGAGAGCAGAACAGGGGGATGTCGACCAATAATATATTAACCATATATCGTGTATCCCTAATAATAATTAGCTGTGTGCCTCATACCGTAGACTATAACACAAAGGACTCATGTATTTGCCATGCTCTTTTTGTGTCCAGGTGTGGACTTGGAGGCAGCCAAGCGGCTGGAGGAGGAGCAGATCATGACAGACGCCCGAACCTGGCTGAATGAGGGTCTTCCCGCTGATGTACGACACCCCAGGACCGGGGCCACCCCCCTGCATGTGGCTGCTGCCAAAGGCTACCTAGAGGCCCTCAAGTTAGGATCTCCTGACGTTTTCCATAATGGATATTGTATTACATTTGAACTTAGAATTGCTATTATATTCTATAGGATTTCTATATTTAGTCTTCCACTGTTGTCACCTTGCTGTTGTGTTGTCCAGGATACTGTGTCAGTGTGGGCTGGATGTGTCAGCTGTGGACTTTGATGGCTGGACGCCTCTCCATGCTGCAGCACACTGGGGTCAGGGGGAAGCCTGTCGAATTCTGGCTGAACAGCTGTGCAATATGGAGGCCCGCAGCAACGCGGTGAGGCCAAAAAAAACCCCACATTTATCATGACTGTTGGTATTGACATTTTATAGGAGAATGTTATCCTGTAAATCTATCATCCTGTTTTTCATGTTGAAATAATCTTTGTAGGGTCAGACACCGTTCGACGTAGCTGATGAAAGCGTTGAGGAGCTCCTGGAGGAGTTATCACAGAAACAGGCCAATGTGAGAAAGTGTCTATCTTTTCGTAGTATTCTATGCATTTACTTTATGTGATTTTGAAGAATACTGACAGCTGCTTTTCTCTCTCTGCCTTTGTTAGTGGCGTAATGAACAGTCCATATTGGACAGGCAAAACCAACAAGGCTCCACAGCTGCAAACGCACAAAACAAGCGGCGCCGGTTAGTATCCACCTGTAACTCTGCACATTCTTCACAATTGAAAATGTTTTTAATTGTGAACACTAAAAAACCTCCTGAAAAGTCTCCTTGGGCAGTGTCATCCTATGAGGCCACTTAGTGCCAATGTCTGTCTGCATTTCGTGTCTTTCAGGAGCTCAGTGTGCAGGATGAGCAGTAAAGACAAGATGAACGTGCAGGACCAGTCTAAAGAGCGGGGTGTTTCGGGAGGCCTGGAGCTGAGTGAGGAGAAAGAGAGCAGCCCCGGTAAACCAGCCACTGTGTTAATAGTTTGACTGGATGTTTTATGTATACTCTGCAATGTAATTATGCTGAATCCAAAAGATGTTGGTTCTATTTTCCCAGAAAGCTCTACTGTATCCAGTCCAGACACTGAGAGTGTGACCACATCCACAATCAGCCCTGCTGACAAGGTACAAATCAGGCGGCCTAATCTAGTATGTCAATAGAGCAGGTCTAGGCCGTACTTCTTATAACATTATTTACAGAGACCCAATAGTTCACCCAACTAAATGGGGAATGAAAACACTTTTTTTAAGTTCTAATGTTGAAAACGCCAACTAACATGACTGAGACAACTTTTTCTGCTGCTATCCTCGATATTCAAAACACATCTCCCTGCACAGGATAGACATTGGGAATAATTGATAGGTGTTAAAAATAAGTGCATGACATCATTACATCTCATCTGAAAAAGTTCCTTTAAAAAAAACAACACCCCAAATTTGCATGCTGGTTAGATGGAAATTTAGCCGCTCTATATTGATAATTTTTTTAATTTATGTACTAACCAAATAGTTTTCTTACACATGGTGTAAAGAACAAAGAATGACCAAGAACAATACTAAGAATATCATCAATATCATCATAAAAAAAGACCTATTATTAGATTATTATGGTGACTATTCTGTTCATAGGTTTTACACTTCACACGGTTAATCTGCAGATCTACAGTAGAGCTAATTGTGGAATAACTCTTATAAAATATGGGCCTGATGTGTATCAGTTTGTGGATCTTTGACACCAGAAAGGTCTAATATACGTGCAACTTCAAAACCAACAGCAATAAAAAAAAAAATATTCCAATAAACCAATAAATATATATTCCCTAATGGGGAAGTACGTGCATTTCAGTCAGAATACTTTTCAGTTTCTATCAGTTTATTTTGATCTGAGAGCTTCAGCCCACATGACTGCCGGCACACCCAGCATTTCAACAGACGTTTTAGACACATCCCCAATCAAGAAGTGTCATAACTTCAGATGTGAAGGCTTTTGGTCTGGATTAAAGCATGTTGACTAAACAGACTCATGTGTACAATATGCTGACAGTAATTGGGGTGATGAATATTTTGATCAAAATTTCTGTTGCAGACAGTTAAACTTCTGGCCTTTTTTTCTTGTCTTATGTGGTTCAGACACCAGAGGAGAAAGATGAGGAGGAGAAGGAGCAGGACAAGGCAAATCGCACTGCCAGAGTCCAACCCACTCCTCAGATGAGGGATGCTGCGGCTGAGAGCCCCAACACCCCCAATGCTGACAGGCGCAAGTAAGAAACAACAGTGTTTTGAACAGGACCACAAAAATATTAGTTTTTCACACCAGTTCATTTTTACTTCACCCAAACTGTTCTGTGATATTTATATAAAAAAAATTACGTTTATTTTGCTTCTATAATTTCATTCAGATGCAGGGTGGCCCCTAACGGTTGAAATGTATGTAATATTTGTGTAATATGTTGTTTGTGGATGTTTTTTTTTGCCTTTAGATTCCAGGCTCCAGTAAGAGACGAAGAGTCTGAGTCTCAGAGGAAAGCTCGCTCTCGGCTTTTGCGGCAGTCTCGCCGCTCAACACAGGTACTGCTTTCTTAGGATGGGTATTTTTTTAGGATTTTGAACATGTAGCTATTAGCCTAATGAACTCTAAAGCTAAAACATACCAGCAGTGAGTAGGAAACTGCAGACAAAAAAAAGAAAACATGGATTTCTTTTCTTTTACTTGTTGTTTTGCTCTTCTATTGCATGTACAGTAACAGGCATAGTGTCGTCATATCAAGTAAAATGTTATCTCGCTTCTGTACGCTGCAGCTTCTCTGCTGCTCACTGTGTGTGCGTGTGGTGGAGGAGCTCAGCCCCGCCCTGGAGCAAACGCAGACTCTCACTCCCTGGTTTTTACCAATAAATGAACCAGATCCCCCTAGTTTGGAGTAATCCATCTATGTAGATTATTTACAAACTTATTTTGATACAGCACATTAAATCTTGCATAAAGAAGTGACGTCAGTATTCTATCATAGGCAGAGCAGACAGACAGACTGTTACTGCACTGTAACGTTAGCTTGATGAATGAGCCAACAAACAAACCTTCACTGGGGAAGAGTGTATTGCAGGCTAGAAAGCCAGGTAGCTGCTCAGCTGCAGCACATTAAACAGAGTGTGAATGTAGCTGCTAATGTCACTTCAGGTTGGTTAAATGCTGGTGTTCCTCTTCAATACCACTAACAACACACTGTCTGCGCCTGATATAGAGGCTAGTTTATTTACTTTGTCTCTCGTTCCCTATGGTGTAACACAAGCCCTCTGGCAGCATGCCAGCAGCTGTCAATCAAACACTGACACGTCCCTAAAGCCGTCTGAGATGTAAAAAAGCATTTCTGATAATACCCCAAAAACACTTCTTATTTAAAAAACAATTTTTTGAAAATTCACTAAATGTGATTTCAACTGGACTTACAAAGATCTTACAAAGAACTGACTCCAGTTCAGAACTGTTTTGGGGGCACCCATACTGTCTACAAAGGGGTCTAAACTAAATGCATCTTTACAGTCATACTTGTCTGTATTCAGTTTTCTGTCTCCCTTTCCAGTGCCAGGGACCTGGAATCATTTAGTTACTGTGTAAATCCTTTTTCTGCATCATATAGTCACATACTCGAAATTATGTCACTACCTTTTTACACTGTGCTGCACGCTTAGCTTAGCTTTGGGTATAAGAAGCTATATTAGTTAGTCAGTTAGACTGACAGTCATGCATGTGACTGCTAAAGTCAAACACTATTTTTATCACCATTTATTTTTAGTGGCTGATTCTCATATTGGTGTAAAAATCTCACTAATGTGCATTAGAGGTGCCAATGCTGTGGATAATTAAACATTTCAGCAAACAGATTGTTATGTTATGATTCTGAGTGAAAGCTAACCTACCTGAACACAGTTAAAGTGGAATAGAGTGAATAATTTACTGAGTAATGATGTGGTTAACCTGCTTATTTTACGACTTCAGTGACTGTAAGTGCAGCGTCATGCTGCACGCCTACCGCGGTGCAGATGATGCATGGCATCAATGTTTTTTCATTCTCGATGGAGAGAAACTGCTGAGTTCTGGGTGCAACTTAAGGCCGCTGAGTTGTTTTGTCTTTGCTCTGTGCTTGCAGGGTGTGACTCTTACCGACTTAAAAGAAGCAGAGAAGACTGTGGCTAAAACCGCAGATCCACCTCCCCGCAACATCCAGCCTGTCAGCCCCATTGTTACTGTCACGCCTGCTGAAAGAGGTGAATGAGGATAAAATGCTACAAAATATATTGTTAATAGATTACAGTGGATTCCAAAATTCACTACCCACTCCTTGGAGATTTTTTGGAGCAAAATGTCTGAACAGCTCCTTGTTAACGGTTATTTTCAATTAAAATGTCAATCATTTTCTTGATTAATCAATTAGTTGTTTGGTCCATGAAATGTCCAAAACCTAAGGTGTTTGGGTTAGGGATAAAAAAATTACTCAAAACAATTGATCGATTATTAAAATAGTTAGCATCAATACTACTCAACTAATCGTTGCAGCATTGGTAGCAAACAGAGTGACCATGGTCACTAATAAAGCGTGGTAAATATTCTCTACTGATTTTCTCTAGCTCTTAATCTAGAAATGGAGGCATTCTCCAAAAGGAATTCTTCTGTTTACTGTAAAACAAGACTAACGATAAAAACATGATGTAGATTTTGGGTGGAGTGTTTCAGGAAGTGAGGTTTTCTCACATGGGCTCTAAAGGCTATTGCTGCATTCGGTGCGGTTTATCTGGCAGGGTGGCTACTATGTATGCATTTTCTTATGAGTTGCATACATCTTGAGAGTATACAATCCCACACTCCACCCTTGTTTTGCTTTTGTTTTTTATGGGGAACTGACCATTTTCACATGTGATGTACAGTATCTGGTTGACACCATCAGCCTCAGTTAACCCAATAAACACATCAGTTAACCTGTTTTATTCACAAAGCCAAAAATAACATTTTGTTCATGTTTACTTGTTTATGTACAACAACATAAGACCGCTTCCTAAAAGTTAAGTAATTTGGAAACTAATGTACCTGGCGTGGGGTCTTAAAGGGATCTGGATAAATGAAGTAGATGTTAATTATATGAAGCTGCGTTGTTTTTTTTCTTGCTTTTAAATGTGTTTTTGGGAAAGATTAGTATTAATTATACTGTAACAACTACAAAACAAAACTGACATGGAACCAATACTGATTTTCCTTCATATCTGTCTTATTTTTTTGCCAGTATGTATGTGAAATAAGTGCACTTACAATGGTGTTAAAAAGATCTAAAATAGTATTAAATGTAACCTTTTTAAACCAGCACAAACCCTGGCATAGTTGCTTAGATGAATCCCGAACCGAGCCACAGCCTCACGGAAATAAGTGTGTTTCCTATATGGTATTAATCGTTCTCCTTTAGATCTCCACAGTGGCATGTAGTTAGTTAGATTTTTGAGTCAACCTAAAGTTCTGTTAACCTCCATATGTTTCAGATACAGACCCGGTGAAGCAGGAGGAGCCGGAGGGAGAGAAGCGTCTGGGGGTGAAGGACAGGAGGAGAGGGAGGAGGGAGAGACGCTCCACTGGCATTGTTCATCCAGGTGGAGAGGTAAGAACGACACAACCATACATCATCGCAAACTTGGCAGAGAGCTCAGTGGCAGTCAGGAAGAAGATTTTTGGCCACAGCAGATTTACAGTTTACAGCAGGTTTTAGCAAACCAGTTCCTTTATTCTGTCAGCTGTATGTGAGTACTAAAAGAAGGGGAAAGGGAAAGGGTAGCTGACTTCCTCTTTGTTGTACTATAACTGAATATGTCATAAGCGCACACACACTTTTCTCTTACAAGATAAGAACTTCACTGACTGGAAGTCATGATGACTAATGTTTATAGTAAAATGTTTGCAAGACTGGCAGGCTCTTGAAACCAAGTGGCCGTTTGCTGCACATGCCTCTCTTTCTCTCCCTTTCCTGTCCATCTTAAGCTGTCCTAAAAAAAAAAAAGGAACTGCAGTCCTGTGTTGCACTGACAATGTGAATCTTTTGTATTTCAGAATGAAGATGACGATGCTTATTTGGATGACACAAACCGCAACAATACTTCGAAGTAAGTGTTTTTAATCTTGTGTGTTTGATTTCAGTCCTTAAAGGCATACTATGTAAGATTTTCCTAAAAGAGTATAAACTCACAAACATAATCCTTTATGACCACTAGAGGTGTGTAGGGATGTGTGACCCTGACCTCTGCCTGGTCATCAATCTCAGGGTCTGAGATTGGGACTCAAACACAGCAACCAGGTTACAGTGCTTCCATAACAAGCCATAAATACGGCACCTTCCTGCAGGCTTGTGTTGAGGTTTGGCCATGATTATTTGGACTTTAAAACGTAACCACTCTAGTGTAAAAAAATAAAAAAATAAAAAATCATTGTTAAAAAAAACAAACATTTGATTTGCTGGTTTGCGAATCTCCTCAATCATGCTCTATGTTGCTCGGCAGAAGGTGCCTTCACAAACGGCAACGGACTACTATTTCTGCATAGTATGCTTTCCCCTCTTTCTGACGTTTTTTGTAATTTCACACATTCCAGAGACAAGCCAAGACAATGGAATGAATGTATGTGCATCTGTTCTACCTTTCTTTCCCCTCTTAAAAATCTAGGATTTAGGGTATTTGATCATGTTATGACTTGTGTTACTTGAAGGCTGTTAAGTTGAAGGTCTGAGAGCCGCAGGGGAAGACGGTTTAATGCTTGACTGTGTACTTTGAGTTTGTATTTGCCATGAAGAAGTAAACAAAACCTTAGTATTATTCCCAGGAAATAAAGATACATGTTTAGCTTTATAAATGTATATCACTGTGTTGTTGGTGTGGAGGATTCTCTGTCAGGGCTTTAAAAGCTTCCAATGTGTCTCTGCAGTGAGAGTCAACTGGGAGACTCGTCAGCTGACTACAGAACGGTACGTGTCTGCCCCTCTTTTCACAGTAAAGCTCACACAGTCCTTAAAAACACACCTGAGGGCTGAAAGTGAGTTATATCTGAGATCTAGACAAACCAGGACAGGAATGATACTCGACAGGATCTAGAGAGAAATTCTAGAACGATAGGCTGTACTGTGGCATCAACCATGCACATATGAAGCATTTATCATCAGGTTCTGAAGGTCTGTGTTATGTGTGTCTGTTTCTCTCTAGTGGTATTTCAAAGTACTGCAGGAGAACCTGGCTCTGAAGGACAAGCTGCAGGAGATGGAGCTGCTGCTCAGCCAAAACAAAGTGGAGCTGGAGCAAGTCCGACAGGTCCGGCAGGTTTGCTGCTACAGCTGACCTTTTTAAGAGTGTGTGAGCGTGCGTGTGTGACATTATTAACAGAGGGATGCTATGTGGGTGCTGGTGTTTGTCTGACTCAGCATAACAAGGAGTGTGTGTGTGTGTGTGTGTGTGTGTGTGTGTGTGTGTGTGTGTGTGAATGTGGACAGCAGC